CCTTGTAATCAGTAGACATTGCCAAAGAGCAACCATAGCAAGAAGGTTATCTTTTTATTGAGAGATTTTTGCTATAGGGCGTGTGCGCTTGCCAGAAAGACAGAAACAGAGAGACAGAAAGCGAGAAATCACCCTACAGGGGGAATGCCACACCACAATCCCTTCTCTTGGGATCTTGGGCACACACACACATGCGCCTGGCGTGAGTTTAAGCCACTGGGTCTGGGACGCAAACTGCAGTCGAATACATGGGAGTCCAGCAATATAGCCATTATGTCAGCTGCTGGTCCTGAGGATTATCTTAAGGTAGACTTTGAAGGAAGAAAAAAGACTGATCTTTGCTAGCATGGTATATCACAGAATACTTAGTAGGCAGGGCTGAACTGAGAAGGTTTATGTGTAATTTGTGTGCTGGGTGTTTGCTTTTCAACAGTTTAAGTAGTTGACATGTAAATATTTTCTCAAAAATATTTAAAACCATACTGTCTCTGCTGTTATAGAGTCACAAAATTGTAACAAATATTTTGAACATTAAAATTCAGTTTCTTGAAAAATTTTTTAAATTATTTTATTTATTTATTTATTTATTATTCAACTTGACCAAAGAAAGAGAGAGAGGAAGTATGAGAAGGCAACCTGCCAGGTCTGGGACTTGAACCGTAGTTGGCCATATGGGAGTCCAGCATCTTAAACACCACACCACCTGCCAGCCCATTTCTTGAAATTTTGAAAGTTGCTTATCAACTGTTAAGAAGTATGGAGTATGAGCAAAAATTCTTTGATATGTAAAGTAAATGTTTGTGGGAAATGTAAAAATAAATAAATGATTTTTAAAATTACTGGAAAAATGTTGGAAAAGTTAAATAAAATAATTCTTAAAAAAAAAAAAAAGCCAGGACCAGCAGTTAGCGTAACCCATGTAGTTGACTGTGGTTCAAGTCCTGGACCTGGTGGCTTAATCTCACACCGGGCATGCGTGTGTGCGTGCGTGCGTGCGTGCCCAAGATCCCGAGAGGAGAATGGAGGAGAAGGAATTGTGGCATGGCCATCCCCCCAAGGGGTAATTTCATACTTTCTGTCTCTCTCTCTCTGTCTTTCTGGGGAGCGCACGTACCCTATAGCAAAAACCTCTCCAAAAAAAAAATGCCAGGGGCTGGCAGGTGGCGTGGTGGTTTAGAGTGCTGGTTTCCCACATGCCCGACTGTGGTTCAAGTCCTGGACCTGGTGGTTTGCTTTCTCACTTTCTGTCTCTCTCTCTCTCTCACTCTGTTCCTCTCTGGTCAAATTAAAATAACTAAATAAACAGATAAATAAATAAAGTTAAATAAAATAATTCTTTTAAAAAATGCCATTTTAAAAAAAAAGGTGAAAATCACCATTGGTGAAGAAAGCCAAACCAAAGGAAAAGAAGACCTTTATGGTGTTGTCCTGGTTTTGCAGCTGAGGCAGTAGGCCCAGTAGGGACAGTGACATTTGCCTTTCTGTCCCATCCACAAGAACCTCTGTATTGAATGAACCCACTGAATCGAGCTTCTTGGAGTGGGCTGGGAATCAACCTGGGCCTTCCGTGTGACTTCAGCCTGCAGAGCTTCAGGGTCTTAACACGCACGACTGTGGTTGAGTTTTGTTTTTGTCTTTTGAGCTTTTTATTTTTCAGGTGTCCTAAATTGGACATACAGTTTTGTTTTTTGACTTCAGTGCATCGGGCTGGATCGGTTGTGTCTGGGTGTGCAGGATCACAGCAGCTGTACCAACAGCTGTGGTACCGCAGCAGTGCTGCTGTTTGCTCACTCCCTCACTGACTGAAAGAGCAGGGCCTTTCCAGTAACTTCTGTTCCTCTCCTCCCTCCTTCCCTGCAGACGGAGTGTATAGTGCACGTTCAGTGGGGTTCATCCCTCCTGTTTGTGACTGTGGCTCATTCATTGTCACTTCTCTGTACAGTTCCATTGTGTGGATCTCTCTACTACCATAAGTTGTTTTCATTATTAGGAAATGTTTGTTTCCTGTTTTGGGGAGCTGGGTCTTTGGGTGCCTTTTCTTCTTCCAGGTTCTCGCTCTGTCTGCTGCTATAGTTAAGCTAAGGCTTAAGTGAGTAGTAGAAAGAATGAACCTTGATATGTCGGCTGAACATACGGCTTTTATTTATGTATTTTAATTAACTCTTTTGATTTTAGCCATAGCACATGTGCTTACCAGAGAGAGACAGAAAGATACAGAGAGGGAAAGTGAGAAATCGCCCTCAAAGATGGCTATGCCATAGTCTCTTCTCCATTCTCCTCTTGGGATTTTGGGCACACGCGCACACGCTCCTGGCATGATTTTCAAGCTGTTGGGTCTAGGACTTGAACCATGGTCTACCATGTGGGAGTCCAGGACCTTCACCAGTACACCACCTATTGGCCCCAACATACATCTTTAAAGTGTCTGCCTTCAGGTGTATTTGGTAAAGGGGATAGTCTGTTGTTGGAGATTCTTCCCTGGGATGTCTCTGAAGACAGCGGTACCATCTAGCAACATGGGCCCGACCTTCTCCAGGACGCACCGACTGAGTCATGCTGATTCAGATGTTGGCCGAGGCTCAGCACTGTGTTGCCCCTGTACTGTGTTGCCCCGGGGTGGTGGATGCGTGGGTCCTCCTGCTCCCCCCCGCCCCTCATGCGCCCACCTACCCCGCACCAGCACCGGACGTTCCCCCGTCCGACACTGAATCAGTGAGGAAAAGATGGATTATTCAAGTTAATATGTTGGAATGTCGAAATAAAAAATAAAGTTAGGTACCTATTTCACTTTTTATATCAAAATTAATTCCTGATGGATCAAATTCCTAAAGGTGAAAAATAGAACTATAAGAAGAAAAATTTAAGAATTACAGTGGTGAAGACTCTTATAATACGAGCAATACAGATGTCATAAAATAAAAATTTTACATAAGAAAAAAATCATCAAAGGACAAATTTCAAAAAAAATGTGCAATCTATGTCATAATTTATTTTTATAATATTTTAAGCTCTCTTACTAATTAGTAAGAAAACACCATCAGTTCAATGGAAAATATAGAGAAAGATAGTTCCTAGGAAAAGAATTACAATAGTTTTTACTTACATGGAAAGAAAATGTTCTACCATATTCATAATAAAAGAAATGTTAATTAAAACTAACTCATATCAGGACCAGCAGTTGGCATAATGGCTATGTCACTGGACTCCCATGTAGTTGACTGTGGTTCAAGTCCTGGACCTGGTGGCTTAATCTCACACCGGGCATGCGTGTGTGCGTGCGTGCGTGCGTGCCCAAGATCCCGAGAGGAGAATGGAGGAGAAGGAATTGTGGCATGGCCATCCCCCCAAGGGGTAATTTCATACTTTCTGTCTCTCTCTCTCTGTCTTTCTGGGGAGCGCACGTACCCTATAGCAAAAACCTCTCCAAAAAAAAAATGCCAGGGGCTGGCAGGTGGCGTGGTGGTTTAGAGTGCTGGATTCCCACATGCCCGACTGTGGTTCAAGTCCTGGACCTGGTGGTTTGCTTTCTCACTTTCTGTCTCTCTCTCTCTCTCACTCTGTTCCTCTCTGGTCAAATTAAAATAACTAAATAAACAGATAAATAAATAAAGTTAAATAAAATAATTCTTTTAAAAAATGCCATTTTAAAAAAAAAGGTGAAAATCACCATTGGTGAAGAAAGCCAAACCAAAGGAAAAGAAGACCTTTATGGTGTTGTCCTGGTTTTGCAGCTGAGGCAGTAGGCCCAGTAGGGACAGTGACATTTGCCTTTCTGTCCCATCCACAAGAACCTCTGTATTGAATGAACCCACTGAATCGAGCTTCTTGGAGTGGGCTGGGAATCAACCTGGGCCTTCCGTGTGACTTCAGCCTGCAGAGCTTCAGGGTCTTAACACGCACGACTGTGGTTGAGTTTTGTTTTTGTCTTTTGAGCTTTTTATTTTTCAGGTGTCCTAAATTGGACATACAGTTTTGTTTTTTGACTTCAGTGCATCGGGCTGGATCGGTTGTGTCTGGGTGTGCAGGATCACAGCAGCTGTACCAACAGCTGTGGTACCGCAGCAGTGCTGCTGTTTGCTCACTCCCTCACTGACTGAAAGAGCAGGGCCTTTCCAGTAACTTCTGTTCCTCTCCTCCCTCCTTCCCTGCAGACGGAGTGTATAGTGCACGTTCAGTGGGGTTCATCCCTCCTGTTTGTGACTGTGGCTCATTCATTGTCACTTCTCTGTACAGTTCCATTGTGTGGATCTCTCTACTACCATAAGTTGTTTTCATTATTAGGAAATGTTTGTTTCCTGTTTTGGGGAGCTGGGTCTTTGGGTGCCTTTTCTTCTTCCAGGTTCTCGCTCTGTCTGCTGCTATAGTTAAGCTAAGGCTTAAGTGAGTAGTAGAAAGAATGAACCTTGATATGTCGGCTGAACATACGGCTTTTATTTATGTATTTTAATTAACTCTTTTGATTTTAGCCATAGCACATGTGCTTACCAGAGAGAGACAGAAAGATACAGAGAGGGAAAGTGAGAAATCGCCCTCAAAGATGGCTATGCCATAGTCTCTTCTCCATTCTCCTCTTGGGATTTTGGGCACACGCGCACACGCTCCTGGCATGATTTTCAAGCTGTTGGGTCTAGGACTTGAACCATGGTCTACCATGTGGGAGTCCAGGACCTTCACCAGTACACCACCTATTGGCCCCAACATACATCTTTAAAGTGTCTGCCTTCAGGTGTATTTGGTAAAGGGGATAGTCTGTTGTTGGAGATTCTTCCCTGGGATGTCTCTGAAGACAGCGGTACCATCTAGCAACATGGGCCCGACCTTCTCCAGGACGCACCGACTGAGTCATGCTGATTCAGATGTTGGCCGAGGCTCAGCACTGTGTTGCCCCTGTGTGGTGGATGCGTGGGTCCTCCTGCTCCCCCCCGCCCCTCATGCGCCCACCTACCCCGCACCAGCACCGGACGTTCCCCCGTCCGACACTGACTGTGCTGCTTTTCCAGATAAACACTGAGGATCTCGAGGATGACCTTGTGATGAACAGGGAGAGGCCCAGCTGTGCGCTCACAGGCACTGTGGTTTCAGAGAGCAAAGGACCGGCTCAGCGTGGAAACACAGAGGCCAAGAAAGATGGAGATGAGGCCAGAGCAACTCCCCCAGAGCAGGTGTGGGGCTGCATGGTGACAAGGAGGGGCCCTGAGGCTGGTCTGTGCTGAGGCGGGTCCTTGAGGCCCGTCTGTGCTGTCTTCTGGAGGTGTGACTCATTGCCCAGGCATCCAGAATTTCCCTTGGGATCCCTGGCATCATCTGCATCCTAAGACCAGTGACGGCATCACAGTGCCGTGTGCGGGCTCCCACTCGGCCTCTTGGCTCAAGTCGGGGTGGGTCTGGGCGTAGTGCGAGTTGGTGTCCTTCGAAGAGACATGCGGGTGGGCACAGGTGCAGCCGGCCACTGCCGCGCATCAGCACAGAAAGGGCCTTTGAAGAAGTGGGTTTTCTCAGAAGGTTCTAAAAGGAGTGTTTGCTCATTTATTCACCAAGGGGACCTGCCACGTGCTAGGGACAAGCCTCTTTTCCCAGGAGCCTCAGGCTGAGAGGTGACATGGGTGTGAGCTGACAAGTGCAGTCAGGGAGTCGCCTAGTGGGGCTCGGGGTGGGGCTTCCTGAGGAACTTTCATGGTGCCGTGGAGAGCTAGCCAGTTCAGGGAGGCTGCAGGTGCAGGTGCGGTGCAGGGGTCCATGTGAGCTGACGTGGAGAGCTGGCCAGTTCAGGGAGGCTGCAGGTGCAGTGCAGGGGTCCGCGTGAGCTGCCTTTTATACAGCAAGCTCCTGGCCCCAAGGCTGCAGCATGACAGGGTATAGTTGACAGGCAGTTGGGTGGAAGGTTAGAGGCCTTGGAACAGTCACGAGGTTGGGATCAAGTCCAGGGTTGCAGGAGGCCCCCGAGCACATCAAAAAGAGTTCAGGGCCCAGCCGCTGGGGCTCACAGTTACTAGTCCCCTGCAGTCTGGGAACTGTGGCCACCACCGCTCGCATCCCAGGTCGGCTGGGAAAGGCAGTGAGCCTGCACATGAGCGAGTGTCCAGGGTCCCGAGGACCTGGATGGCTGGGGAAAGGGGTCACAGGGTAAGGAGATGATGCCAGGGTATCTTCTCTGTGTCCCTGTCCCACTCTCTGCCCTGCTCTTCCCCTCCCCCTTTTCTGTACACACTACAAAAAAGAGAAAAGAAAAAAGTGCAGCGAAAGCTGGATCTCACATGACCAACCAGGGCTTGAGATCTCACCCTTGCAGCTTACACTCAGATGGATCCCAGCAGGGAGAACTGGGGGAAAAGGACTGTAGTGACCAGGCCCCACGGGGTGCTTTCTCTCTGTGCATGCACATGCCCTCTGAAATAATCATTTAAAAAGGAATTTTTTTAAAGAATTATTTAACTTTATTTATTATTATATCATTATTACTTTTCAGTTTGATCAGAGAGAGACACAGAGAGAGAGAGAGGAAGTGAGAAAGCAAGCCACCAGGTCCGAGACTTGAACTGTGGTCGGCCATGTGGGAGCCCAGCACCTTTAACCACCACGCCACTTGCCGGCCCCTGTTTTTGTTTTGTTTTTAGAGAAATTTTTGCCACAGGGCGGGTACACTTGCTCAGAGACGGAGAGACAGAAAGCAAGAAACCACCCCCCAGGGAGATGGCCACACCACAGTCCCTTCTCCTCCATTTTCCTCTCAGGATCCTGGGCATGCACGCACATGTACCCTGCGTGAGTTTTAAGTCACCAGACCTAGGATTCAAACTGCAGTCGACTACGTGGGAGTCCAGCAATGTAACTATTAAGCCATCTGCTAGTCCCCAAAAGAGTTTTAATTTAAAAAAAAAAAGACAAGGGGCCAGCAAGTGGCGTGGTGATTAAAGGCGCTGGACTCCCACATGGCCAATTGCAGTTCAAGTCCCAGACCTGCCGACTTGCTTTCTTTTTTTGGAGAGGTTTTTGCTATAGGGCATGTGCACTCGCCAGAAAGACAGAGAAATAGAAAATGAGAAATCACCCCCGAGGGAGAATGGCCACGCCACAATCCTTTCTTCTCCATTCTCCTCTTGGGATCTTGGGCACGCACGCACATGCGCCTGGCGTGAGATTAAGCCACCGGGTCCGGGACTCGAACCGTGGTCGACTACATGGGAGTCCAATGACATAGCCATTACGCCAACTGCTGGTCCCAGCGACCTTTCTTTCTTTCTTTCTCTTTTTTTTTTAACTCTCTCTCTAATCAAATTAAAAAATAATAACATGGAATTAAATAAATAGAATGTTTCTGTTTAAAAGACAAAGGCGGGGCCAGCTGTGGTGTGGTGGTTATGACCCTGGGTCCCACGTGACCAGCTCCACAGCTTGAACCACAGCCAGTGACTTGAACATGCGAAATTCTAGGAGGAGGATGGAGGAGAAGGGGTTTGGGTGTGGCCATCCCCTGGGGGATGATTTCTCACTTTCCCTCTGTCTCTGTGTCTGTCTCTGGTGAGTATATGTGCCCAATGACAAAAAAAAAAAAAAAAATCTAAAGAAGAAGAAAAGAAAAAGGGGATGAATGAGCGAAGGGCTCTAAGAGCACGGCCGCGCCATCCAGGCAGGGAGACCTGTCAGAGGGCGGCTCTTCTCACAAAGGGGTGCTCAGGACACGGAAGGCGAGGGGGAGTTAGGGTTCTGCCTAATTTACACTTTTTAAGATCTTATTTCTCCTTCCACTGGGTAAAACGTCTTTTTCTTTCTTTCTTTCTTTTTAAGTCTAGTGCAAGTGGCAAGCTCCGAAAGAAGAAAAAGAAACAGAAAAATAAGAAAAACAGTGCGGGAGAAGCTTTGGTACGTAAACAGACCTGGCCCTCCGCCTGGCCTCCCCTCTGCCTGGTGTCCCCTCTGCTGGGCTGGTTGTATCTCTGCATGGTGTGGAGAGAAGTTGGTTTTGCCTGTTGTCTCATTCCTCCCGTTTGGTGTGACTAAGCAAAGGTCATCTTGCCGAGTCTGTGCCCCTTGTCTCTGGTGGTCAGAGCCCCACTCTGCTCAGCTTCCCTGCACCCACCAGAGCTTGTGTCCCGACAGGTGGGCCCGGGGTGCTGCCCACGGCCCGTGAGGTGCACGCTGCTCTGACTTCGCGTAGTGCTAAGGAGTGAGCAGCCTGCCTGCCGTTGGAGGTATGCCTCCACTGCTTGCTGCGCTTGGCTTCGCTGTCTGATTGTATGTGTCCTGAAAAGAGGGCGGAGCTGCGCCGCTGTGCCCGGCTCTGCGTGCCTCGGGTGAGCTCACTTGTGACATGACGGGGCTCCTGGGCCTGCCTGTCTCTAGGGTCCTCTGTGCTCTGCCGTTCTATCTACTCTGAGTCTATTTATTTGTATTTTAATTTGACCAGAGAGGGACAGATTGAGAGAGAGAGGAAAAGTGAGAAAGCAAGCCACCAGGTCTGGGACTTGAACCATGTTCAGCCATGTGGGAGTCCAGTGCCCTTAACCACTATGCCACCTGCTGGCTCCGAGGTTTTTTTGTTTTTGTCTTGAGAGATTTTTGTGCATGTGCTCTCTCCAGAGGGACAGAAAGCGAGAAATTCCCCCCCCCCCCCAGGGGAGATGGCCACACTGCAATTCCTTCTCTTTTCACCTCTTTGGATCTTGGGCATGCACACACGTCTGGTGTGAGTTTTAAGCTGCCAGGTCTGGGACTCGAACCGCAGTTGAATATGTGGGAGTCCAGCAGTGTAACCATTAAGCCATCTGGCCCCTATTATGAGTCTTTTCTTACAAACATCTCTCTCTCCATATATATATATATATATATATATATTTTAAGATTTTTGCCATAGGGTGGGTGTACTAGCTGGCGAGAGACGGGAAGGTGGAAGACAGCCCTCATGGAGGATGGCCATTCCCGCAGGCCCTTCTTCATTGTCCTCTTGGGATTGGAGCACACACACATGCACCACCATGCCACCTGTTGGCCCCATCTTTTCTTTTTTTTTTCTTTTCTTTTTTTTTTTTAAGAGAGGTTTTTGCTATAGGGCGCGTGCGCTCGCCAGACAGACAGAGAGAGACATAGAGACAGAAAGCGAGAAATCACCCCCCAGGGGGGATGGTCACACCTCAATCCCTTCTCCTCCATTCTCGTCTCGGGATCTTGGGCACGCACGCACACGCACCCGGCGTGGGTTCTAAGCCACCGGGTCCGGGACGCGAACCGTGGTCAACTACGTAGGAGTCCAGCGACATAGCCATTACGCTAACTGCTGGTTCCCTTTTTTTTATTTAATTTTATTTATTGTCATTTTTATTTTAAGTTGACCAGAAAGAGACAGAATGAAGGAAAGTGAGAAAACAAGCTGCCAGGTCTGGGACTTGACCGGTGGTCAGTCACGTGGGAGTCCAGCCGCCCTAACCACCATGCCATCGGCCGACCCCCTCTTCTTCTTTCTACATGTACGTGTGGTGAACAGTGTTTTAGGAAGTAATATAAATGAATAGATTTTTAAAAAGTAAATTACATTTGGGGCCTGCCCCTTAGCACTTAACCATAGTGGTAAAGCTCTGTGAACGGAGACTGAGTCCCAGATGGCTGACATGGTTCGAACCCCACCCCAGTGACTTGAGAAGCACACCTGGTGCATGTGCATGCGTGCCCCAGGGATGGAGAATGAACCGGGATTGTGGTGGGGCCCTACCTCTGGGAGGTGCTTTCTCTTTCTCTCTCTCTCTGGCAAGTGCAAGCACTGTCTGAAAATAAGTAGGTAAGGCTGGCCCCAGGGCCTCATGGTGAGGTAGCTGGGTCCCACACAGGCAACCACAAGGTTCGAGGCCTAGACCTGGTGGCTTAAGAAACATATGCCCTGAATCCCAACAGGATGGGGAAACAGAAGAGAGACGATCGTAACGTGACCAAGGCCCCCCTTCCTCCGTCTGTCCCCAGCAAGTGCACGTGCTCTCTGTCAAATTAACGAGAAATAATGTTTGCTGATGTTACTGCATTCACAGTAAAGCATAGTGGCTCGTTGTCGTTACAGGGTGTGTGTGCTTCCTGGAGAGAGACAGAGGCAGAGAGAAGGAAAGGAAAACAAGAAATCACCCCCAAGAGGAAATGGCCACTCTGCAGCCTTCCTCCCTCTCCCCGTGGGATCATGGGCATGCATGCACACTTGCCCGGTGTGATTGTTTTTCAAGCCACTGTCCGTAGCTACAGTCAGCTTTGTGGGATCTAGTACCTTCAGCACACGCCACCTGCCTGGCCTAAAATAAGGCATGGCAATGAAGAGGTTGTTTGGGGCTTTCAGGAAAACGGGCTGGAAGACGTAGACCGCATCTTGGAGAGGATCGAGGACAGCACTGGGCTCGCCCGCCCTGGGCCCCCTGCTCTGAGCTCCAGGAGGCACGCTCTGTACGTGGAGCACAGGTACGGCCTCCGTCCTCCGCCCTCCCCTCTCCCCTGCCCCCCTTCCCCGCCCCTCCCACCGCCATGACTGTCCTAGGGATTCCGTGAGGGAGCAGACTTGTTCAAAAAGAAGAAAATTTACTGTCTGTTTAAGATACTGTGAATTTATTTGAGCATTTAGGAGGGTGCAGTAAGGAGAAGGGAAGGAAAATGCGCCCAGTTTCAGAGGACTCTGGCTCTCCTGCCTGCCTCTTAGAGGCTCGCTCCTGAGTCCCTATAAGTGTCAGGTCACCCTGGGCTCTTCCCGTCTCTGGTCTTGGGCTGAGTGACCCCTGTCCCCGCCACAGAGACCGTCACAGCCTTTTGTTCTTAAGCCACAGGGGTCACGGTGCGACATACGGATATAAGGGTGACTGTAGCCCCGACTCGCCTCGCACACACACAGCCCCACACGGCAGGGCCAGCCGGGTCCCTTTGGCACCCTGCAGGGCAGCAGAGCAAGGCCTAAGTGCAGGGGAGGTGGTGGTTTCAAAGAAAGGAGGCCCAGAAGACGCCTATCAAGCCAGAATCACCGCTCTCCTTGCCACAGGCTTACATACATGCCTTTCTAAATCACAGAATCAAAATGAAAAAAATAAGTGGAAACAGAAGTATTGTAGAGGAATGTGAGTTCATTTTTCCTTCTAAAATGTTCATTCCTAGACACTTGAATCCAGACACAGAACTGAAAAGGTATTTTGGTGCTCGAGCCGTCCTGGGAGAACAGAGGTAAGCTTAAGGGGGTGAGCGTTCATGAAACTGTTTAAAAACCCTTGAGGGAAAGTGAGTCCAGAGCGGACGGGGAGCCCTGCGAGGGCGCAGGGTCTGGAGGAGGCTCGGGCACTGCTCACCTGTGCTTGCCCTCGTCCATGACGCTGCTGCTCGGCATGCCCGGGCCCGGCTTGTCTCTCCTGCAGCCTTCTCTAGTCTGTGCGACATCACTTTAGAAAGGTTCTTAGAGCTATTCAGTTCTGAGCTTCCAGGTCCAGCAGGTGGTGTGGAGGAGGGTAAGGTGCTGGATTCCACATGGCCAACTACATGGTTTGAGTCCCAGACTCAGCATCTTGAAAAATCACCCAGGCACATGTGCCTGTGTGCCCAACATCCCAAAAGGATGATAGGTAACCCCTCATGGTCATGGGCATCCCGCACAGAGGGTGTCTTCTCACTTTCCCTCTGTCTGTCTGTCTGTCTGTCTGTCTGTGGTAAATGGTGAGTATACGTAGCCTATGAATAAGAAAATTTGAGTTTCTAGCCTTTAAATCCTGGCCAGGTTGTTTTATTTGTCTTTTTTTTTTTTTTTTTAATAAGAATTGTTTGTTTAATTTTTTAAAAGAATTATTTAATTATATGTATTCATTCATTTAATTTGACCAGAGAGAGACAGAGAGAGAGAAAGGGAAAGTGAGAAAGCAAGCCACCTGGGACCAGCAGTTGGTTGCTGGACTCCCATATAGTCAATCACGGTTTGAGTCCCTGACCAGGTGGCTTAAACTCACGCTGGGCACATGTACGTGTTTGCCAATACCCTGAGAGAAGAATGGAGGAGAAGGGATTGCGGTGTGGCCATCCCCCTTGGGGGTGATTTCTCCCTTTCTGTCTCTCGGTCTCTCTGTATCTTTCTGGTGAGCACACGTGCCCTACAGCAAAAACATGTCAAAAAAAAAAAAGCAAGCAAGCCACAAGGTTCAGGACTCGACCGCAGTAAGCCATGTGGGTATGGCCTACACCTTAACCACTATGCCCCCTGCTGGTTTTATTTAATTTCATGTATTATTATTTTTCAATTTGACAGAGAGGGAAAGTGAGAAAGCCATCGGGCCTGGGACTCAAACCGTGGTTGGCCATGTGGGAGTCCAGTGCCTCAACCACATGCCACCTGCTGGCTCCATGAGTTTAGATTTTTTAATTCACGGTAGGGCCCTTTGGTGCTCACTAAAGCTAGAGAGAAAGGAAGTGAAAAAGCACCGTCCACTCTGCAGTCTCCTGCCGCATCCGGGCGTGCACTCACCTGTGTTTCTCGGGCCGCACAGCCGTTCCAGTGCCATCTGGCCCCTAGTTTTTTTTTTTTTTTTTTTTTTTTTTGCCAGAGTGCACGTCCATGTGCCAGAGAGAGGAGGAGAAAGCGCTTCCCAGTGAGGTGTGGTCTTGCTGCAGTCCCGGCCCCTTTTCCCATCATCTTGGAATTCGGGGCATACGTGTGGATGTGCCCCACATGTTTTCAGGCTGGGGCCTGCGTTCTCACTGCACCAGCCACGTGGGATCCCGGCTTCTTAACCACAAGGCTGTGGCACTGGCACCTTTGTCTTTTTTTCCAGTTTGCCACGGGGCTCACGGGAGAGGCAGGAAAGAGGGAGTGAGAAGGCACCCTGTTCACCCCACTCCATCTGCACCCTGTCCTCCCAGGCAGAGACCTGGTGTGTCTGTCACCTCGCTCTGGGAATCTCCAAATCAGGCGTGCACTTCTCGTTCCACTCGGGTGCCATGACAGGTGGGGTCAGCACACGCTCCCCACCAGGTCACATTCCCACTGCTCTGTGGCTCTGCAGACCCTCAGGCTGCTCTCCTCACTCAGCCCCTCTCCTGCCCCAGCTCCAGGCTCTGTCAGGGCTGCCCGAGCCTTGCCAACTCTGCATAGCAGCTCCCTGCAAGGCTAGGCCCACCTCGGGGTCCACAGACGCAAAGCGGCCCTTGAGTATCTGGCTGGATCCTCATATCACACCATGTTTTTGTTCCCTTCAGATTTGACTGCTCTTCATGTATGGTTGGTTTTCTTCTGTAGCTTTTGACATTCTCTCTCTGAGAAGAAACGGTGCTTTTCTTTTTAACTTCTTTGAAATAGTCAAGAGGCCGTGTGCACTTGCCTAAGAGCAGGGGTGGGGAGCATCCCACTGAGGCGGGGCCATGTGCTGTCTTCTGTCGGGATTTTAAGCACTCACACACACAGGCCTGGTGTATTTTTCTTTTTGTTTTAATTTTATTTATTACTATTTTTTAAAAATTTGCTATACAGTATGTGCATTCACCAGAGAGGAAGGAGAGAGAGAAAGAGGAAGAGAG